CAGAAACAATGAGATGAAAGAAGCTAAAAAGCTACAAGAGCTGAAGGGAACTGATGAGTCGAGGGCTAATTCTGTGGTTTCATCCCCACCAGTGACCTCTTTGATATTGCGCTGTAATTTCATCCATTTTTCATATAAAATATTGATAAGAGCAACTTTTAAAACCCTCTGTGGGAAGCTGGTGATGTCTGGCCATATAAATAAACTTGACTAAGATCTGGGGATTTGATAAAATTTAGTATGATTGCAGTGGCCATAAAATTCTTTTCACTGAAGTGGTGATGGCTTAAATTCCCTCCATCATTCCTGAGTAATAGGAAGTGTCAAACAAAACCTTCATGATGACACAGTACTTTGAACACTCCCCTTTATCCCTGCAGAATTAAAATAGACCTGAGAAGAAAAAAAAAAGCTTTTCCTTTTCCATGACCACCTCTGCTGTGGGTGCAAATGAAAATGCCCTTCCCAAAATAGATCATTTTTACCCTTCAGATGTCCACTTTTATTTTAAGCCCGGTGACACCATGCCATCCATCACACCCAGCTTTTCAGATGTGAGCAGCCCCGGGGAAAACACTGATACAATGCAGGGGAAAGTGTGATAGCTTGCTGCTGCTGTGTAGTTAGGACCTCTATGGTTAGATTACCACTAATTTCATCTCAAAGTAGCATTTAGACATTTTCTTTGTGCGAGTAAAGTGGAAGTCATTCCTCTTTTTAGGGTAAACATTGAAAATGGATGCCCTGCCTTTCCAACTCTTCCCTCAAATTACCACTTGACATGGCCAAACATTGCTCCGCATTATTGTCTGCCAGGAAAATGCATTTCTGAATGCTTTATTGAATGTTTTGGCTGGGTGGAAATTGTACGAAGTGTACCCAGTGCTTTGATCATCTTGACCTGGAAATGTGATAGTCACCCCACTTCACAGGACTCTCTGACACCTGGGAAACTGGATCTGATATTCTTGATACACGATCTGCACCGCAGCACTAAAGACTTAACTTCTCCTGTTTCTGAGTCGGCGGAGACTACTGATGGGAACTGGAATTTCACATGGCTCAGACTGAGGCTGTTTTTTCCCCACAAGCCACTGGAGTCACAACATTTAAAGCCTGGTGGAAAAAACGGCCTGTATGATTTTTATGAACAAGATTCCTGCAGCTTTACTTTCACTTAAAACACAAGCACACACACAAGAAAGTTTTTATGTGTAGATGGAGTGTTTTTGTTTGTTTTTTTAGTTTTTGTGCACCAAAGCTGATAAAATATTTTGACAGATGTTGTGAGGCTACATCTGGATGTGCAAACTGGAAGACAGATTTGGACTTCACTTTCTTTGAGTCATCAATTAGATGTTTGTTGTTGTCATTTAGCTTTTTTGATATAAATATATTCATTTTTGAGTTAGTTTTCACGGTGTCGCGAAGTGTTTTGTAGTGGAGGTGCACCTAACATCATAAATTAATACACTTTATTGAATTAAAACATAAAACCCAGGAGAAAAACTGCCGAAGCACTGTTTAACACAGTACATGCAATATATTTAATAGGTGTGAAAATTGTTTAGGTCTTCATTTTCTAACTAAACTGATCATGAGATGGTGCATCAATAGTAAACCATTATTTCATCATGATATGATATTATATCTATTCTTTGGACAATGATACATATTTACCAATATAAGTATTTTATAATACGATTTCAATGCGATTCATTTCAGGGACCTGCAGTCCACATGAGACGATGTCATGTGGTCATTTAACACAGTTGGTCAAAGAACAAGCTGCCATCCCTTTCATTGTGGCTTTTGGCCATTAAAGATGCAAACAACACATAAATAATTCTAGCCAGTTAAAGGTCCAGTTTGTAGTATTTAGGGGGACACATTGGCAGAAACGTAATATAAGTATGTTTTTTGGGGGGGGGGGGTATAGTCACCTGAAAATAAGAATCGTTGTGTTTTTGTTACCTTAGAATGAGTCCTTTATCTCTACAAAGGCAGCAGGTCCTCGTCTACAGATATCGCCATGATGCATCGTCATGTTTCTACAGTAGCCCAGAATGGACAAACCAAACACTGGCTCTAGACAGAGCCATTCGTCTTTTTGTGTCAGCCACTGTAGTTAGTGGCCTCTCAGCTACAAACAGCATTTGAAAAACACTAATGTATTAACTTAAAACTCTTTTATTTAGTGTTTTTAATCAACTGGTCCTTTGTTTTGGAGAGGAGGAGACCTCTGTGGATAATTCAGCTCACTGTAAAAATCTCTTGAACGTCTGGATCAGAAGAAAGTGAGCATATGTTAGCAGGTGCTGGGCTCACTGCCCGTCTGCGATGAGCTGAAGAGCGTCAGAGAAACACTAGTCCGTTTTACACTGCCAGATTTTTGGCGAATGTTGGGACGTTTAGTTTAAAAAGACCGAGGTGGCCTTCCGCAACGGGAGGGGCTGTTGAAGACTTGTGGGAGGAGCTGTTGATGACGCTGCATGTGTGAGCCACTGGCAGTGGATAAACGGGAAACAGCTGATAGCAGGAATTAGCGAGCAGCTAGTAGCAAGAGGGAAACACAAACCTGACAGACACTGTAAAGATGAGCAACTGGGGAGACAAGGAGTTGCGTGCCCTCCTTGCTACTAGCTGCTCGCTAATCGCTAAATCTTACACACTGTTCCTTTAAGTGTTGTATAGTTTAAGTTGATTTCACGAACACACATAAAACATGGCTTAACTACAAGAACTTTTAATAGAAGTATGAAATGTGGCTAAGAAATAACTGTTAATGTAGAAGAAACAATTGTTTTTTTGCTAGTCACCATTAGTGGCATTTTCACACTGCATGAGTTAGCCTAGCCGCTAGCGAATTTTATCTTGACTCAAAGCTTAACTAATTACATGTATTATTTATACTTTTCCTTATGCATCTGGTTTAAAGTCACTGCATGCATGTTTTTCAGCCTAACATTGTTGAAACAGAGCAGCTGAGCTGAAGTTAGCGAAGTAAGATGCCCGGTCAGGCAGGTGCATCATGTTTCCTGAGTATTTTGTCTCGCAACAGTATTGTTTACAAGTGGCATGTGTTTTGTCTGTTGACCCGTCTTTTTTCTGAAAATATATCCAAAATATTTTTCACACTGCTGATTTATTCCCGAGAGTAATAAATATCCTCATTGTCTTTTTCTTGGCTGCTTGCCATTATCTGCCTGGCACTGTTTGACAGTGACACAGATGTGCCATGCAAATTTCAAAATAAAGGCATATCTTAAAGATGACAATATGAATTATTGTTTTCACTTAGCAATAATGATATTGGATTGCTGACCACTGAATCGATACATTGACGGACTTGTTAGTCACCTAATCAAGATGTTGTTAGCTAAACAACTTTTAAGGAGAAACACAGATATAGTTTTGAAGATAAATGTGTATAGTTCACATTTAGCATTTTAAATCCATTCACACTGTAACATGTTATCGTTTGGATTGGAATGATTGTGTTTTTGGTAAACGCATCACATCAAATTGAAATGAACCTTGAGTGCTCAATAAGAATTCAGTGTTTGAGTATTGTTTTAGTATTACATGGATATAATTTGTTCAGGAATCAGGTCTGAGCTATTTAATGTGATGGCACTGGCAGTGGTAGTGGAGTTAGAAGTAAATTACACAGAGCCAGTGTGTGATTAGAGAAGCTGTGACATGGCTTTTAAAGTTCACCACCCCTCAAGATATTTGATCAAGCCGCCGGCCTTTGATCAGTGTTAACATTACGGTAACCATGACAGTTTATTTTCAACTACCAAAAAAAAAAAAGACCATTTGTGTCAGAAAACAATCTCCCCTTCCTCTGACATGTTGGCACGCCGCAAAAGAAAAATGTCAGGGTCAGTGATGGGCCATTAGCCCAGAGTGAGTTCCTTTTGTGCTCCCAGGTCCATTGAAAACACCTTTTTAGTCTTCAACAGATGGTACCGTGACACAGCAACCACAGGCGCTGACCTGGGCCTTAACTTAAAGACAAAAAAACCACAGGACATGCAGCACCGCAGAGGGACAAGAATGTCTTCCTAGAGAGAGAATGACACCATGAATGTGTAATAAAAAATTCACCTGCTTAGCACGGCTGCATTGTAATGCCTTGTACATTTGATTGACTACACAGTCACCCTCTATTCATCGGTGTTATACCCTTTTCTTTTTCATGGAGGTCGCTCCTCCGTCGCTGCAAATGTCATAGTGCTTTAATGAGAACTGCACTGTAGCCCACAATGGAAGCTTTTCAGCCAGATTAAATGTATCACTGTGCTGAAACTTTCCTTTCCTCTCTCGCCCCTTTGCCCCTATTGTGACACAGTGGTTTTACAGAGCAGCTTGTTGCTGAAAAACAAGGTTAAGAAGATCAGTATCAAAGGAGGAGTGTTTTTGTGTGGCTTGCAGGAGAGTCTCGCTTCAGGTTTCCACCTGAAACACAGAGGTGTTTTCTTACCTGATTTGTATTCATTCACACAATGAGTGGAGCTGCTTCTCTTGTTTCCAAGTAAGGAGAGTCCAGACGAGACTTTTGTTCGCCCTATCATCGGATACGTGCATGTTGCTTCCTCCAGTACGAGCCTTGGAGCCCAGCCACAGGCTTTGTCCTGGATGGATTTTTTCCTGCCCTTTTTCCTCTTCTTTGTTGCTCTGTGTGTGCTCTAAGAAACCATTTCAGATAAATGTTTGAGCACCACTGCTTTTTTTTTTTCCCCCCTCTTTTGGCTCCTGTGTTATTTCAATAATACCAAGCTTTGTCACCCTAAAATTGCCTTGTCAGGATCCAAAACCCACAAATTAGCAGTTTAAAGAGTTTCAGTCCATAGGAGCCTGCAGTTCAGTCCATTGTGGCTCATGTTGTGCTGTCAAAACACAGATAATGCTGCCGGTACAGATTAATGTGTTTCAGCTGAGGTCAGTCAAACTGTCGAAGACATCACTTAAGTAAATAATATTCTTGTTTTCAGGGGTTTTTCCTGACCGTGTCCCCGGAGTCCATCCTAAAGGTGGCGAAGCATGCTTCAGATAACAACAAAATCTTCTGCATGAACCTCTCAGCACCTTTCATCAGCCAGTTCTTCAAAGAGCCCTTGATGGAGGTCATGCCTTACGTCGACATCTTGTTTGGCAACGAGACGGTAAGTAAAACGAGACGTGCTCAGTCAGGCCTCTTTAGGACAGATAGTCTGTTTGCTAACACATTGTTTTGATTATGATGTATAGTACACGTGTTTCTATGTGCACGCTTACATTTATCTTCACAATGAAGGTTATATTTTTAGTTGTCTCTGACTGTTGTGTTTTTGGTCATTTAGTCAGATGTCTCAAAAACATTTTGACTGAAATGTCAAAACCACAGATGTTAGCATGCTAATATGCTAAATTCAAATGTTGAACATGGTAAACATTATACCTGCTACATATTCGCTTGTGATTGTGAGCATATTGGCATGCTGACATTAGCACTTAGGTGCTAGAGCTGCTAGCATGGCTGTAGACTCTTATACTTGTTTTTTATTACTGCTACAAATGAAGTAAATATTTGAATGAGCCTGAAAGAAAAACAACTCTTTTTATGATTTTTATTATGCATTACCTCAGCCATACCCAAACGACATCAAAGAATCGGTGGCAGCAAAGGCCGACTGTTGTGTCGCCTCATGTCGCCTGTGTCCCAGCCAAAAACTTGCATGTGAACACACCGCAAGGACTACAGTCAGCAGTCGACTAGCACGTACGTTCTGCAGCTGTGTGACAGGAAATAACTCACCATACCAGCAGAAAGCTATAGTCTGTATTCTTCATTCAAAAGAGCAAACCGGAAGATCGACAGGACATATTCAAGGTGTTAGTTAGCGAGTTAGCACATTAACAACACAACCAGATGTTGTCAGAACAAAGGGTACTTACAAACTGTTCCTGCTAAAGAGCTCAATGGCTAAAAACATAATGTTACCTAATATAACAAGTTAATTTGACTAAAGCAACTTGTTTGTTTTCTTCACTTCCATTTCTCCTCGTGGGCACTGAGCTGAACTGTCAGTCAGAGTGATTTCACTCACCGTCGGGCTCCGCCGTCGATTCAACATGCTGAATCAGCCAAAAAACAGCCGTCAGGGGCCAGTTAGTGCCAATGGTGCATGACAAACCACAGAAATAAGGAGACAGACGCTCACTGTTGGCCCGACATTAATCAAAAGCCGACCAAGCTTGGTGTGTCAGGGCACCTAAGTATAATTTTCCAGATTCTTGTAGACATAGCCTATTTGATGTAAACTTAGATAAGACAAGTTAAAGGCTGCACTACTGAAACCCAATCTTGATATTCATTAAACCCCTAAAAGCTCATCTTTGTTCATCAAAATTACATATTGTGGGGTGTCGGTGGCTTAGTGGTAGAGCAGGCACCCCATGTACAGGGCTGTTGCCGCAGCAGCCCGGGTTTGACCCCAGCCTGTGGCCCTTTGCTCCATGTTTCTCCCTCTCTCTCTACCCCCTTCACACTTCACTATCCTATTAATTAAAGGCAGAAAAATGCCCTAAAAAATATCTCTAAAAAAAATAAATAAAAAAATTACATATTGTAATAGCTTAGATGTAACTTCACATCTTTCCTCATGTAGTTCGGTGGATCTATGAATGTGCAATTAGTCCCTGCTTCTGTCTCCACCTGCCCCTCAGCAACTCGCCTGAAGCTCAAGCGTACCTGCTCACCTTTGACTCTGCTCATCAGACACACAAACCTCTGCTTATAGACGGTAATAGGTAACTTGACTATGTATCAAACAGCTGATAATGTGTTGCTAATTGATCACCAGCTCTGACAATTGAAACAAAAGTGAAACTTAGCTGACAAAATACTGATAGGTAGCTACATCTGGCTCCTTTTTTGGTAACTATTGTTTTACTGTAATGTTATAGGATTGGTTCCTTTGGTTTGTGATGTAACAGACTTCCACTGATACATGGCAGCTTAGGGGAGGGATGCTCAGCCCTGGTGTTGACTGCTTATTTCGCTAATGACATGTCTTGTAGCATATAAAAAACAACATATGGACATGTTATCAAGGTTAAAAACTTGATTTTCACTGGAGTGAGTCTTTAAATGGCCCTGACTCAGCGGTCATAAGTGTGTTTTGAATTTAAGCACAATTCATCCTTGTACAAACCCTGATATTCCCAGTCAGGATTAAGGTTTTCTCCCCAAAAAAGCCAAACCTGCTGGATGCAGATTAAACACCTCTGAGTATTTTCCATTATTTATACAACAAATTCAAAGGATTTTGCAGTCGCAGTAGGGTTATGTGTTCTCTAAGTGCTTTAAAGTTTATATATATGTTTCAACTCACCTTGTTTAAAGCAAAATCAAAATGTCATGTTCACTGTTTCACTCCACTCGTTGCTCTCCTCAGTATCCATTTAACTTCTCACTTATCACTGCCCCATAAAGAGATGAATAAGAATTAGCCCCAGTAATCATTCATCTCAATCGCGTCACCATTTCATGCCAGTTGATCTATTGATTTTTTTCGCCTCTGTGGAAGTGAGCGGCTGGTTGGGGGTCAAGCTGTGGTCACAGACCGTGGTGCTGCTGGGAAGTATCCTCTAACAGGCCAGCTGAGCTTGACTCTGAGGCACCGCCTGGACAAACTGCACCTTCAGGGTGGGAGAGAGGGGAGGAGGGGAGTGGATGATCACTGGACTGAACTCGCCTCCCCACTGCTAAAGCTACTAAACAGAGCCCTGTGTTCGGGTTAGAGATGGGGTCCACAGACCAGGACAGAGCTGGAAGAAACTGCTCAGCATTTGAGGATTTATTGCTGTTGCTGACTTCAGCTTTTTCCTCTTTTCTTTCCTCTCCCAACACAAGACCTCCCTTTTACATATGCACATCTCTCTCGCTCCCTAATTGCTGTGAGGAACGATTCTGTCTCCTAAACCACAGTGTACATTTTGCAAGCGTTATGTATTTTCGGGTGGGTGGTACTGTAACTGTTTGCTTAAGAAGTTTGCTCACACCTCCAGTCATTACAGTTTAATGACTCTGGATAATTGCAATGCATGTTTGTTGAAGGAGATTATCTTTTGGAGTCTCTGTCGGGGCTTGCTCTCCGGAATTGAACCCGGCTAAGACCGCCAAAATAAGAGATTCAGTGGGAAACAGAGCAGATATTCACAGCTTGCCTGCCTCAAGCAGTGAGGTCTTCCAGGGTCTATATAGGACTAATGCCTGTCCAGAGTGTTTTGACTCCTTTTGGCCTTCCTCTGTGTTGGCTGCTGGGAGGAGGGAGTGGGGAATGACTGCTCATACAGTCGAGCCCCAGACCTCCCATTGTGCACAAGCCAGACAAGGTTGGCGGTCATGCAGTGGTGCATGGTGAGTGACAGGCAACAGGGCTGCCTCGCCCACGCTCGCCCCCCTCCGGCCCCCCTGGCCGTCCTCTCACCCCAACTTCCACCCCCCAAAGTGATGGATCAGCCTCAGCCAGCGATGCTTTCATAACAAGTCAGTGACAGTCAGGATCACGCAGACTGACTCCTATAGCCTTGCAGAATGTGCCATAAGGGGAGGCTAATGTGTCTGCCTGTCTCTGCCTCCCTCTCCCACTCTTACTGAGTCACGATACAGAGCTGCACACACTTGGGGGAATATGTTAAAAGCAGCTGTAAGATTTCATGTTTTGAAAGTGACTAATAATAATTTTGGGGAAGATTTTGAGAATGGAGTGCTGCATTATTTGTCATGACTAGGGGATCTTGTTTCACTCAGATTTCCTTTTTGATCGTTTGAAATTCCAAATCAGACGTGCAACACCACAGCCTCCAAAAATATGTCAATAGCCTCTGTTTCCTCCCTTGTTTTAGCCTGCTTCTGATGTTGAAATGTGTCTGTGTGTCTGACTGAGTCTACCCTTGGTAATTCTGCTGTAACTCGATCCTGCTGGTACTTGTTTGAAACCTGGCATCAGCAGGCCCTGCCTGGCCTATCGGCAGCCTCGTACTTATATAACAGTCTCCCATCCATCCTGTAATTACTGCCTTTTTGGGGCATAGTGTAGTGTCTGTTCCTTCACTGGTGGGGGGGTGGAGAGGCTAGCGACGCCGTCTCTGCGTTGCCAAGGCCTCTGAGATGGTGCCGACAGAGGCACATAGACATCAGACGCTACTCCACTTAATTGGCAAACATGTCGTGTGATAACCTGGGAACAGCACAGGCCTAATTGAGTCCTCCTGCGCTGTCCTCCTCTGACTACCTGACATGGAACCCAGGGCATTACATTTCCCTCCATTTAATGGCTGCAGTTAATTAGGCCCGAATGAGGGAATCATTACCGCTGGAAAAACCACATGCCAGTGGATTCGCCGATAAAATTAGCCACAATTTGCTTTTGCTATTTGAGCATAAGAGATAAACCACACAATAGGGGGGAAGGATTGGACCATTACTGCCAGATTTGTATTGTGGAATTTTAGACATATCATAGACAAATGGAACGATTAATCAAGACTGAATTAATCACCCTGACTGATGTTTTTTTAAGCCAGGATTCATGGCTTTCTCAATTTAGATCATTTCATGAGCTAGGGCTCCTTCTTTTTTTTTTTCTTTTTTTTTTATCTGCGCAAATGGTTTAAAAATATGCTTCCTTAATAAAACGGTACCGCAGATGAGGAGCTTAGTTTTTTTGCCCCACAGCCAATACCCAACAACCTCCTCGCTCCCCTGCCATTAACATTATATACCACCCCCATACAGGAGCTCTTCGTGCCTCCCATTGCCGTCCAATGTGTTCTGCAGCTCCACACTCAGAGGGAGCTTATTTTTATGGGTCCCAGCCCCGTCTTCCAAACGAGAGACAGCCATTGTAATTGAATACTCAATAGGTGAGCCATTTAACAAAAGTGGAAATGGCATTCGGCTATGTATTAATGTGCTTTGCTGAGGCAAAAGGAGCCATCATCATTTCAATGTTCAAGCTGTTTTAAAAGAGCATTTAGCCTGCCATCTCTCCAGGCCATGAGAGCAAAATGACACGGATTTCTTCTTCCTCTGTACTTTGTGTGAATGTTCCTCGCCTAATATTTTGTATGGTTATCTCGCTTATTTTCCCATCCATCCCTCAGCACCTCTCCCTGA